TTTTTTTACATTTTAATCTGGACTACAACATGCCCTAGATATTGTTTGAAAGTGTTTTGATTCTTTATTGTTCGGTCACACTTTACATTAGGGCTTCATTAGTTAACATTAGCTTTTGCTCATTGTGAATGTTAATGCATTAACTAAGGTTAACTAATGAGGTCTTATTGTAAAGTGATACCTATTGGTCTTTATAGTTCTTTTGCACTTTAATCTGTGTAAAACTTTTAACTTTGTACATTTTTCTGTATTGCTTTATTGCATTTAAATGTTCAGTTATTTTTGTTATAAGAAAAAAGTTATTAAACCTGTTATACTGTATTATGACAGCACTTTTTTAAAACTAAATTTCAATATCGTGATAATACCGTATACCGTGATAAAAGCATTAGCAATTAATCGCAACATGAAAATTTGATACCGGCATATCCCTACTGAAAATCTGACCTTGATCAATTATATAAATACTCATGGAAGGAATTGCAGCCAGCTCCTAGACTGGTTGTGTGTAGTAATGGTTAATGAGGGCAAAGCCTGCACTGCTGGAAAGCACTGTGACACAGGATGAGTACTGGTTCCACTTTACATCCACACAACTGGATGATTCGCCTGCAGAAGTTCTTGCGGTTTTATCTGTATGTTGTCTTACAGGTTGTGCTGATATGATTTTGCAGACAGTACTAATAAAGAGAGATAATTTAGCTAGGGATGCACCAAAATGAAAATTCTGGGCCGAACCAGAAAATTCTGGACCGACTTGGCTGAAAACCGAAATGGAAAATGCTTTATGTAATAATTATAATAATAATTAGAGATGCACCGATTGCAATTTTCTTGGCCGATTCCGATATTTTTGTAAGTGTGACCTGCCGATGCCGATTTTTGTCGATTCAGATTTTCTATAATTGACAGTAAATATTCAAATTTCAATGCAAAAAATGTATTTGCATAATAAAAGAAACATTACAATTCCCCCAATCTGGACTAAGTTACAGATGTTCTCTCACTTAACTCTCAAAATAAAGTGCTCTGTGACCAGAAAGAGGTAGAAATGAGTTGCTGTTTATAACAAAACAGATGTCATTTCCCACTATGCTCATAAATTATATTATAAAGAAATATAAAATTCCTAACCTTATTAAATGTAATTTTTCACATCAAATTTGTACATTGTTTCAATGAATTCAGTTAGAATAATAAGAAACTGTAGTTGAGTTACCATTCAAATGAAATCAGTATCTCCATCTTTTTTCACTGCAGGAAACACAGAAGCTGCATCTGAAGTGGCATTAGATGTATTACACAGACTGTTTGATGAAGCTGAGGTGCCATGAATGCATTTACACTGCAAATGCATTTCAAATGCATAAATAATTGTATAACATATTAATGTTTTACAAATTTTCAAACATATGTTGTGAAAAATGCAGTGATACTTTTAAATATGACCAAACCACCAGTAGGTGGCGGCAAATTACTGTTTTAAACCTTGATCAGTCATATCGCATTTAAGATCCTATCAAGTTATTTCAAGAATCGGTTTTCAGTGTTCATTAATTATCTGCTGTTCAATAAAAAGACCGCTCATCTGAGTATATGTGTAAACTCTTCAATGAGATATAGTACTGGACATGAGTGAAATGAACCATGTACAAGAGATTGAAATTGCTGTACTATGTTCCTCTACTGCAGTGACTGCAGTGATGGAAGATGAATGTGAGAACAATAAATAATTTGAAAGGCTAGAAGATTAAAGGTGACTACACCAGTAAGGTTAACATCACAACAGATCATTGTCACCCTTGGTCATGTCACCCAGACGATTCAGGAGGAGAAACTAAATATGGGAGATTTAGGACAGCTTTGCACTCATGCCAGAATAGGTCAGGATATACTGTGAACAAGAAATTGTTTCCTTTCAAGAGAGAATGGTTTCCTCTTTAACCTCTGGTGTTTTGCAGTTTCCTTCTGATCACACAAATCAGACAGCACTGTTTAAGTTCTGTCCATGTCATCAACAATTGAGACATTTAAAAAAAAAAAAAATAGTAATATCTGCTATGAGAGGTAGTAATTTTCTAGTTCTCCATAGCTCAAGGTCCCCACGGTCATGGAAATTTGGAAAATATCAAGGAAGATTGGAAATATCATATAAATGTTACGTTTTCTAGTTATGCTAAAATATTTATTTGGTTTCTGCAAAAAAAAATTCAGTTTAAATTTGTATTTAGCTTTACTTTATTTCAGTTTTAGTAATTTTAGTACGTCATCTTCAGTTTGAACATTTCAGTTGAAAATTTAAGTTTTTCTAATATTTATTTTAAATATCTAATATTTGTTTTATTTAATTTAAGCTTTTTTCAAAACAATTTTAAATTAAGTTAATTAACAATAAAACACTAGTGCCCTGCTAGATATTTTTGCCTTTTCTTGGCTAATTCTTGTCAGCTAAGATCCAGCTAAGATCTGTTTCTGCTCTACTGTGGAAGTAAAAGGTTGAGGTGTGATTAAGGCTAAGCAACGAGCTGCCTGAGATGTCTTTTCCCCAAACATTTTACTGGCTAATGATTTGTAGATTACGTTTGCTTGCGCTGGATCACAAGCAAAGTGAACTATGGGTAGGAACGATCAGAAATGTAATAGTTTACCTGTGCAACACTGTCACTGTGCAATTAGTCTCATCTCTCTAAAATATCTGAAATTCAGATATTTTAGGGAAATCCGTTTAGAGCAGCAGTGTTCCGTCTAGAGATGCAAACATCTGTAGTCTCATTGATTTGTTTTCTCTCTGCTAACCAATGCTGCATGGAGTGTCTGTTTCCATAGCAACATGGCAAGAGGTCACAGAGATTCTTTATTGTACATGAAGACAGCATTGCTAACTGCGTTGTAATTAAGCCCCAGTCTGTCCTCTGTGTTTAAATTGATGTTCAGTTTAATCAGGAGGGTTAATGCTGGATACTTAATGCATGCCTGTCAGCCATGACACCTCTTAGCTGAAAACTATTTCTCAGCACATGACATGTATAAAAAGAATGTTGTAAATGTAGTTCATAGCTAATCCAGTGTGACCTCAGCATCTGCTTTCCTTGTCAATTTGAAGTTAAAGATAGATTAAACGCATATGACACTATAAATATTCAGTTGCAGAGATACAGTCGACCGTTTCAGTCTTGTCACATGAAAGAGTTCAGAACACAGAGTCCAAAGAAGAAGCCCTTGAGTTGTTGTTCTGTGTTTACTGCTAATGGCCTCTATCATTAGACTGAATGGCCAGTTTACTGGGCCAATACGGGATTTGGTTCTTGTCTACTGTTATATGTAGTCAAAGAACAAATTGGTTATTCTGATTCTATCCTCATCTGGTTCCAGTCCTTCCATTTGCTTTTAATCTTGTTCTATGTTCAATGTTTAAATAGCATGAAGTACAAATATTGTATGTCAAATGAAAATGTGTGTCTGGGTTTTGCCTGAAGGGGGTTAGTGATGTATTTTACAAAGCATCCTTTTGTTCCCTGTCGTAAACGTCAGTACCTGGCATTTATTTCTGGTTCTAGAAGTTACTCAATACTGTGAAATTCATAATTATACAAAATGTAATATTTGTAAATATTTTTAAATTTTCAAATAACTGTTTTCTGTTTTTAATGTTTTATAAATGTAATTTATTCCTGTTGCTTTACTCCAGTCTTTGGTGTCACATGATCCTTCAGAAATCATTCTAATATGCTGATTTGGTGCTCAAGCAACATTTCTTATCACAGTTGAATATGGTTATGCTGCTAAATATTTTTGTTGAAACTGATACACGTTTTTGTTTGTTTGTGTAAAAGTCTTTACTGTGACTTTTGAGTCAATTGAGTGCAAAAATAAAGTACTTTAAAAAGTCTTTCTTACATGTGAAATAATCAGGCAATATTTGTTGTTACGTGTCATTGTGTTACCAAATAATAGGTTGGTGTGCAACAGTCAATAAATAATAGTTTAAATAGCATAGCATTGTCAAAGCCACAGCACAAACAGGCACGTAAAAGCTTGTGTACAGTGCTCCCGTTTTTTATTATCTTTCTTTCCTCAGTATTTTCCTTTCACTGACTATTTTGTCGAATAATTAAAAAGGAAAACAGCCAAAAATGTATATCATACACTGTATCTGTACAACAGTCTTACTGTTTTAAAGATTTATATTTTCTTAATTCACATTTTGTGTAAAGCTGAGTTAGGGTGTATTCACACCAGGAAAGTCCGCTAGTTCACTTGCTTTGGTCCGGACCAAATGCAATGTAGATTTTTTTTAAAAATTTTTATATGGTGCGGTTCGCTTTTTTTTGCAAGTGAACCAGAAATTGTAAACAAAATCACACGTGTGCTAAGGTCATCCATTCATTGGACAGAAATTATCAAGCAGGGAAAAACAGGAAGTGCAAAAACAGGCTAATCATGGAGATCTTTCGTAGTGCATGTAGTGATTTTTATTCTTTTACTGATTTGGTATTATCAGATACTAACGCAATATGAAGAAACTTATGAGCATCATATGAGACAATGTCATAGGATGTTGTAATTACAACTTGCCGAAAATAAAATCTATAGATATAAAATACTTAAAGCATATCACAATGTTAGTTTAAACATTTAACCTATATAAATGTGCGCTATTAGGTGCATATCCAATCGTTTGTGCGGAGAGTGGAAGCTGAAGCGCGCTTCAGGACATCAGTGGAAACAAATTAAATAAGCTGTAATTGTTGCTCATAAAGGTAAGTATAATACATCATTCATAACTGTAAAGGGTCTGTTTTTATTTGTGTGCATTCACAATATCAAGAAAACGTTGTGTTTTTCTAAAATAAAGAAAACTAATAGGATGCCCCTATTATGGGAAATGAAAGGTACATATTTTGGTTTCGGGAGTCCCCAATAGCATGCAAGGTCAAAAAACACTTTCATTGTCTTATAATACGCATTTATTTTTTAACTTACTTGTTCAACGACTCCCAAACCCCTCTTTTGCGTGACGTTAATCTGCGGTGATTGGTTCGATTGGTCTCATTTTCATTTCATCACGCCTGTAATGCCTGATAAAGCAGCTTTTGTGCAGTGCTGCTGTGTAAAGCGTTACCGGGGAAACAGCTATTTTTCCATATGCTCCAAAAGCGTGGCACCTAGTGGCAATGAATTTGCATTTACATTCAACCAACACGAAAAGACCAAAAAGTGGGCAGGCAATATGCTAATGCTTCATGTTGACGTCAATATGAAACGCTTGGGATTCGTTTTAAAAACGATTTGTTTCAATGATTCAAAGTCAACTCTTTCTTTAGAGAGACAATAACTTTATACACGGTGCACTTTCAGATTTAAAACTTGGCAGGATGTTT